CAGTGATGCGGTCTGAGCCCAGCCTGCTGCGCCCCTCCCCCTCATCCCTGCCCTTCCACACGGCCTCCGCTCCCACCCGCATCGTGTGCGTACCATCTGCTGGACGCCCTCGCACCTCCTCCACTCTGTCCGCCCCTCTGAGCTCTGCCGATGCTGGTGCGTGCTCCTCGCTCGCTTCTCCTCCCTCCACCGTGCGTCGCCGCTGCATCCTGGCGACGGCCCCAGTCTTGCCCTCTGGCTCGCCTGGCCACTTCATCGCCACATCGCCCGCACCGCCTGGCATCATCCACCCTACTTCTGCCTCCCAGCTCATGCTGACTGAAACAAGATATAACACGGCTACCCGCTTCGTGAACGCGTTCGGGCAGGCGCCTGCCCGCTGTTGTGTCGCGGCCGCCGATGCCGCCGCCGTGGTCTCCCCCTCCCCCTCGCCCCTCGAGCCCTCCTTGCTGCTGCCCTCTGCCGTCCCCCATCGCTCCTCGCCCTTGCTGGCCATCATGTCGCCTCTCTGTCTCGACGCTGTCGCGCCAGCGCCTCCAGCCGTGGCCCTTTCGTTCGGCGGCCCGCCGCCACCCCCCACCCGTGGGGTCTGAGTTGCTGACGAACCCTGCCTCTCTACGCTGGGCTCCTCCTCCTCCTCCTCCTCCTCTTCCTCCTCCTCCTCCTCTTCCTCATCCTCCTCCTCGTCCTCCTCCTCCTCCCTCCTCCTCCTCAACCCTCCTCCTCTTCCTCCTCCTCCTCCTCCTCCCCCTCCTCCGCCTCCCCCTCCTCTTCCTCTTCATCTCCCTTCTCTTAGTAGCCCTGGCCCTCCCCGCAGCTGTGCGGGGAGCCTTCCCCTCCCATTCCTGTTCCGGGTTTGGAGGTGGAAGGCAGAGCGTTTGGTGGAGTGCCTTATTTGTTGCAGCGACGCGCGATGGTCACCCCGCCTGCGCCCTCGTCGGGGAAAGGCGAGGTGGGCGTTGCGCTCGCCAGCGATGTTTTCGTTCTTGACTCTAGCAGCTCGGACGCCCCTGCTCGTCGCGTTTCTGCGCCCGCCCACTCTCTAAGAGAGATGTCGTGCCAGGCCCGTTTCGAGCGCGAGCGGCAGGAGGGCGTTGTTCTTCCCTTGGCCCCACGCGCCTGCGATTTTGATTCAGGCGACTCAGACTGAATGGGTCGCCATGCGGGGGGCCAACATCCCCCTCCGCTGCTGGCTCGCTATCTTGGTCAGCCCAAGGATTAGGAAGCGTTGGCGCTGTTTTTTTTTTGTTAAAAAAAATATTCCTTCTCCTCCGCCTCCTCCTCCTCCTCCCCCTCCTCCTCCTCCCCCTCCTCCTCATCCTCCTTTTCCTCCTCCTCCTCCTCTCCTCCTCCTCCTCCTCCCTCCTGCCTTTTCCCTCCTCCTCCTCCGGCTCCTCCTCCTCCTCCTCATCTCTCCTCATTCCTCCTCTTCCTCCTCCTCCTCCTCCTCATCTTCCTCCTCCTCCTCATCTTCTCCCTCCCCTACCTCCTTCTCCTCCTCCTCCTCCGCCTCCTCCGCCTCCTCCTCCTCCGTCCTCCTCCTCCTCCTCCTCCTCCTCCTCTTCCTCCTCCTCCTCCTCCTCTCCTCCTCCTCCTCCTCCTCCTCCCCTCCTCCTCCCTCCTACTCCTCCTCTTCCTCCTACTCCTCCTCCTGCTCCTCCTCCGCCTCCTCCTCCTCCTCGCCCCTCCTCCGGCCTCCCCTCCTCTTCCTCTTCCCTCCCTTCTCTTAGTAGCCCTGGCCCTCCCCGCAGCTGTGCGGGGAGCCTTCCCCTCCCATTCCTGTTCCGGGTTTGGAGGTGGAAGGCAGAGCGTTTGGTGGAGTGCCTTATTTGTTGCAGCGACGCGCGATGGTCACCCCGCCTGCGCCCTCGTCGGGGAAAGGCGAGGTGGGCGTTGCGCTCGCCAGCGATGTTTTCGTTCTTGACTCTAGCAGCTCGGATGCCCCTGCTCGTCGCGTTTCTGCGCCCGCCCACTCTCTAAGAGAGATGTCGTGCCAGGCCCGTTTCGAGCGCGAGCGGCAGGAGGGCGTTGTTCTTCCCTTGGCCCCACGCGCCTGCGATTTTGATTCAGGCGACTCAGACTGAATGGGTCGCCATGCGGGGGGCCAACATCCCCCTCCGCTGCTGGCCCGCTACCTTGGTCAGCCCAAGGATTTGGAAGCGTTGGCGCTGATTTTTTTTATAATATATATTTTTTTTTTTTTTAAAAAAAAAAAAAAAAAAAAAAAACAAAAAAAAAAAAAAAAACAAAAAAAAAAAAAAAAAAAAAAAACTTTTTCCTTCTCCTCCGCCTCCTCCTCATACTCCCCCTCCTCCTCCACCCCCCTCCCCTCATTCTCCATCTTTCCTCCTCTCCTCCTCCTCCTCCTCCTGCTCCTCCTCCTCCTCCTCCTGCTCCTCTCCTCCTCCTCAAGCTCTCCTCCTTCCTCCCTCTTCTCCTCCCTCCTCCTCCTCATCTTCCTCCTCCCCTCATCTTCTTCCGCCTCCTCCTACTCCTCCTG